ACTGACATTTCTGTTTCTGGGTTTCACAAATCCAGCTCCGTTAAATCCCATTTCAAAAACATCTCTGGGTTTTGGTGGGTCATCGTCAAAGTTGTCTCCTTTACGGTCCTTTTCACCACCAGCACAAGAATTTAAAGGACTCCTGAATTTAATAATCACAACACATTCTCCGACTTCCGTATAAAAACCAGACCATTTTTTTTTGTGTCAGTCTAATCTCATGGACGGTGCCGGAGTATCACGAGTCAGCGGCGGCGGAAATGGCGGTGGTGGTTCGGTTGGGGTTCAGATCCGACAAACCCGGATGCTACCGGATTTTCTTCAGAGCGTGAATCTAAAGTACGTGAAATTAGGTTACCATTACTTAATCTCAAATCTCTTGACTCTCTGTTTATTCCCTCTCGCCGTCGTTATCTCCGTCCAAGCATCTCAGACTAACCCAGAAGATCTCCGACAGCTTTGGATCCATCTCCAATACAATCTGGTTAGTATAATCATCTGTTCAGCGATTCTCGTCTTTGGGTTAACCGTCTATGTTATGACCCGACCCAGACCCGTTTACTTGGTTGATTTCTCCTGTTATCTCCCACCTGATCACCTCAAAGCTCCTTTCACTCGATTCATGGAACATTCTAGACTCACCGGAGATTTCGATGACTCTGCTCTCGAGTTTCAACGCAAGATCCTTGAACGTTCTGGTTTAGGTGAACACACTTATCTCCCTGAAGCTATGCATCATGTTCCACCGAGAATTTCAATGGCTGCTGCTAGAGAAGAAGCTGAACAAGTCATGTTTGGTGCTTTAGATAACCTTTTCGCTAACGCTAATGTGAATCCAAAGGATATTGGAATCCTTGTTGTGAATTGTAGTCTCTTTAACCCAACTCCTTCGTTATCTGCAATGATTGTGAACAAGTATAAGCTTAGAGGTAACATTAGGAGCTTTAATCTTGGTGGTATGGGATGTAGCGCGGGAGTTATCGCGGTGGATCTTGCGAAAGATATGTTGTTGGTACATAGGAACACTTACGCGGTTGTTGTTTCTACTGAGAACATTACTCAGAACTGGTATTTCGGTAACAAGAAAGCGATGTTGATACCGAATTGCTTGTTTCGAGTGGGAGGATCTGCGGTTTTGCTATCAAACAAGTCTCGGGACAAGAGACGGGCTAAGTACAGGCTTGTTCATGTGGTGAGGACTCACCGTGGAGCAGATGATAAAGCCTTCCATTGTGTGTATCAAGAACAGGACGATACGGGTAGAACCGGGGTTTCATTGTCTAAAGATCTGATGGCAATTGCAGGGGAAACTCTTAAAACCAATATCACAACATTGGGTCCTCTTGTTCTTCCGATTAGCGAACAGATTCTCTTCTTTATGACACTAGTTGTGAAGAAGCTTTTTAACCGTAAAGTTAAACCGTATATTCCGGATTTCAAACTTGCTTTCGAGCATTTCTGTATCCATGCTGGTGGAAGAGCTGTGATCGATGAGTTAGAGAAGAATCTGCAGCTTTTACCGGTTCATGTCGAGGCTTCGAGGATGACTCTTCACCGATTTGGGAACACATCTTCGAGCTCGATTTGGTATGAGTTGGCTTACATAGAGGCGAAAGGAAGGATGCGAAGAGGAAACCGCGTTTGGCAGATTGCGTTTGGGAGTGGATTTAAATGTAATAGCGCGATTTGGGAAGCTTTAAGGAATGTGAAACCTTCAAAGAACAGTCCTTGGGAAGATTGTATTGAGAAGTATCCAGTAACATTGAGTTATTAGCTTCGGTTGAGGAACTGTTACTTTTTGTTTTTCATGATATTGTAACTTCGAGACTCATTATCCCTGGCTGTTTTTTTTCTTAAGAAAAAAAAAACCTTTAGATTTGATCTATGACAATGTGCTTTGTTGTTTATGTTAATGTGTTTGGGAGATTTTGTGAAATTTGAGTTACATTTCTTGAGCTCATGTGTTTCAGATCTTTTTTGAGTAGTAATGGCCGAACCAGAAAGACATAGACAAAGAAAAA